TTAAAATTAAATCAAATCAAAATAATCAAAACAAGAAATGAAAATATGAATAATATGAAAATAAATAAATAAATAAATAAAATAAATAAAGAAATAATAAGAATAAAGAATAATAATAAGAAAGAAAAGAATAAATAAACATAATAATAAATTAAAATAAAATAAGAAATGAAAACATAATAATAATGATAAATAATAAAAATATGAAAGAATAAAGATAATAATAATATAAAATGATGATATTAAAGAAATTATTAAAATATAAAATAAAGATAAAAGAAAACAATGAAATATAAAATAAATTCATTTTAATATAAATCATTTAAATAATTAAATAATAAAATTATTTTATAATAATGAAATATTTCATAAATATAATAAAAATTAACAAATAAAAGAATGAAGAATAATAAATAAAAGAATAATAAATAATAAAATAAAATAATCAATATATTAAAAAGAAAAAAAGAGAAAAAATAATACATATAAATAAAAATTATAAAAATAAAAATGAATAAAATAAATTGCATAAATAAAATAATGTTAAATAATTTGCATCAATAAATTAAATATTTTTTATTTCATATTTCTAATTTCTATAATAAAAATACACCATTATTTCATCATTATTTTCATCATTTATTATCTCATTTTGAATTATTCCTTTTTATCTTCTTTCATTTTATAATCTCAACATTCTACTTTTATTCTTTTCATCTTCTTCTACTTCTTAATTTCACTTTTTCTTTCATGTCCTTCTTTTTCATCATTTCTCTTCCTTTTTCTCTTATTTCCTTTTTTCGTAGCCTTTATAATTATGATAATTATTAGAATGATTATGCTATTATTTTATTGATAATGATTATAGTTATAACATTGATAATGTCTTCTAAATCTATTTGTTGGTGCATAATTATTTCTATATGATTTTCATGGTATTCTTATGCTGTAGAAAGATCTGATATCTTTTTATTAAATAATTAAAATATTGAGGTGTATCAACTTGTTTAGTAAAATAACATTAAGGCAATGTATACTAGATAGCAGTTATTGTCAATAGATATTAATATGAATTAACTCTATTTCTTCTATTCGTTAACGTGAGATGTTTGTTGTTACGATAAATTCATTTGTACTAATTATGTTCACATGGATATAATAAAAGTAGATAAAATATCAATAATGATATGTAATAAATTTAATATGAATCATACAAAAATGAATATAAAAAATTAATAACGTTTAAATAAGATAGATTAAATTAATGATATTTATGATAATGCTATTCATAGTGAAAAAAAAAAAAATAAATGATATTCTTGGATAGATCTTTGCAAATGATAGAAACTAACTGTCAACAAAAAATAGAAAAATAAAGGTAACAAGATTGTCAATAGGTAATAAACAAAATAAATTATTTAAGTTGTTTTTTACATCATAGATTTGAATTAATAAAATAAAAAATCTAAAAAAAATGATATATTTATTTTTTACCACAAAATACTGTATCTGAGATAAAATCTATTCTTAGTTATAAACTTCTCAATGAGATTGAATCTTTTCAATAATCTTTCAATCTTATTCTCTTTGGAAAGTAATCTTAAAAATTGAATTTATTCATTTGTGACTATTAAAATGAACAAATCATTTAAAGAATATCCACCCCATTTACCTATTCAAGAATTTGAAGAATTTCCAAATATTCAAATTACTGTGAAAATGGCATTAACAAAAAAAAACCTGCATCGTCATTTTACAGAAGATAATAACGAATTATCTTTCTGGTTAGATTCTATTTCATCAATCTCTTCTTCTGAACATTTTCATTAACAATAAACAAAACACCTCAGTTCATTGTAATTCCAAAAAAATCAATCAAAATTAAATATTTGTTGTTAATGTTTATCTTCTTTTAGCAAAACTCTTCTTTCCTTTTCCTCCTTTCTTGGTTTTTCCTTTTTCAATTCGTTTCTTAGCCCTTAATTCTTTTTTCATTCTTGGATCAACTAATTTCATTCTTCCTGATGACCCTCCTACTGTCTTACCTGTCTTAGAACTAACAAACCTAACACCTTCATGGACAGAGAATTTTTTGTTAAGTTTTTTTGCTTTTTTGCTAAGAATTCTTAACTGTTCTTTTGAGTTCATTTCACCATCTCCTTCAATTTTTGATGCCTGTTGTTCAAGGGCTCTCATCCTTGTTTGTAACTTCTTTTTCTTTCTAGCTTCTGCTTCCCATGCCTTCTTTATGGGAGTAGAATCAATTTCTCTTAATCTCCTTCTCATTGCAGCTACTTCTTCTTTGGTTTCCGGTAATGTTAATTTATTGTGTTCTTCTTCTTCATGTCTAAACCAAGCTGGTGTATCTTCATCTTCTGGTAATGTCCATCTTGAAATATGTTGTTCTAATAACCGTTTCTTTTGTTTGGGGTCTTTTACTATTCTTCCTGCAACAATCAGTGCTTGGCTAAGCTTTTCTTTTCCCATATGAGGACCCCAATTTATTTCATCATCCTCTTCACTTGATTTACTATCCTTATTGCTATCTTCAGTCTCTTCATACTCATCACTTTCCCCATCTTCAGATACAATTACTTCATTTTCTTCTTCATCACTCTCTTCTTTCATAACCTGATCTTCTCCCTGAACTTCTTCTTCATATTTGTCGTCAATCTCATTTTTTACCTCTCCTTTTAGTTTTTCTTCTTTGGCTTGATCTTTCTTTAAAACTTCTTCCAAAATACCCATTTGAACAGAAATATCATCCATTCCATGTCTGCTCCACCATAAATCTTCTTTATTATTTTTTCCTTCAGAAGACAATATTCCTTTTTGATGTACAACATCATCAACCTCTTCAATAACCTCTTCTCTTGGTTTTTGATCAGCCTGACGGATAATATCCCCATCATTAAGACTTGACTGAACCATCACGCTCCGTTTCATTTCACCAACTTTAGCCAATACCTTAACTTTTCCTCTTCTCTCAAGGAACTCTTTATACTCCCGTTCGAATTGTTCATCTAAACGTTGGTCATATGTCATTTGTTCCAATCTTTCTTGCTCAGCTCTTTTTTCATTTTCCTCTTCTTCTTTTTTTCTTTGCTCTTCTTCCTCTTCTAATTCTACAGGATTAGTCATATTAAAGAAATTATCCAAATCTTGTTGATTTTTTAAATCATCAATACTAAACAATTGATCAACTTCATCATACCCACTTGAATTAGCAATATCCATTCCACCTTCTTTAATTCTTTGCTCTTTTCTTTTCTTTTTTTCTTCTGCACGTTTTTGTTTAGCTGTTTTCTTATTTTTAGCTATTTCCTCTTCCCTTTCTTCTTCTTCCTCTCTTTCAAGTTCCTTTTGGAGCTCTTCTTGTTCAGTTAATACCTTATCTTCAATTTTCATTTTTTCTTCTTCAGCTTTAATTTTATCTGCTTCTTCCTGTTCTTTTTTGATTTTTTTGACAATGATATCTCTCCATTTTAATAATAATTTTAATTCAGCTGATCCAAGCATTCTAATATCACTCCCATATCCTTTGATATCTTCTGTAACAGGTAATCCTTCATCAAATTGAATAGCAGTGTGTGTAGCTAACCATGCCTTTGGGTCTTCTGCTTGTAAGAATTCTTTTGCATTACCAATGTTATAAACTAATGCTTTTGAAGTATCATATCCTTGAGGCTTAGGGCGTTTAGTGCTAAATAAATCAGGTACTTGAGTTTCTTCTTCTTTAGCAAAGACAAATTTTGGATCAAGTAAATTAGGATCATACTTAGAAGGTGCTAAGAAGTCTTTACAAACTAAATAAACTTCAGCAGATGTATTACGAGAAGCAGGAGGTTTAGTTGCAATAACTGATTTAAAGAATTTTTCAAAAACAAAAAGAATAGCATAATAGTCTTGTGATCTAAACACTTTTGATATAAACCATCCTCCTTTTTTTAAAAAGGTTACTGCAAACTTTAATGCTGCGATACATAATTCTGATTGAGTGTATGCGTCTTGAATCCAAGATTTTCCCATGTTTGGTGAACCATCATGTAACACTACATCTGCATGTTCTCCTTTCATTAATTTTTTCATTTCAGCAAAACACATTCCAGTTGTGATATCCCCTACATATGTTGTACATCTTGGAATTGGTAATATTGGTTCTAAATCTACTCCAAAAATTTTGGATTCAACTGGCATTTCTTTGGTTGCGACTTGACACCACCCTCCAGGGGCTGCACATAAATCAATTAAAATATGTGCTGAACTAAGAAAGTCATATCTTTTATTCATTTGAACAAGTTTAAATGCACTTCTAGCTCTGTAACCATATTGTTTAGCTAAGTGATAATACTTATCTAAACGCTCTTTGCCAGCTTTTCCCTCTTTTCCCATTTCAAATAATTACTGTTTTTTCTTTCTTTTTTATTTTTCTTTTTTTATTATTTTTTTTTTAGAAATAGGGTTTTTTCTTTAGTTTAGTTTTATTATTTTTATAATTATTTCTTATTGTGTAATATAAAACAAAAAATTATTATTAATAGAAAAATGTTTTATATTTTTAAAATAAAATTAAAGTCGAACAAAAAGAAGTTAAAAACATCATTCATATTTGAGAGAAAGAAGAATAATAATTACACGAAAAATAACTTTTTCAGAAAAAGTAGTTCATTCAAAATGAAATTAAAATAAAAAACACAAATAAATTATTATTACTATTATTTCATGCTAAATACAAATTGTATTTTCATTATCAAAAACTCATCATAGACATAACCCTGGATTAACTGAACGCTCGACAACCACTTCTGGATCTGATAGAATTAAGCTATCTCCTTCATCAGAATATCTTTCATGATTGCATAATATATTTAATATTTCATCTTCAATTTCCATTTCTTGGATTTCATATATTTGAAAGTTATAAAATAATGGTTCTGAGAGTGTTTTAATTGGTATTGAAGAAGCTATACAAGTATGATGCCCCATATTGTACCTTTTATTTTTTTAGATGAAGTTAAGTTCTAATATTCTTTCTTTTTATATATTTAGATATAATAACATAAAAATAATCTGAACTTCGTTTCAATAAAAGAATAGTAGTATTTGGAAGTAAAATCTGATTTTATTTTAACTATTCAGTTTCATTTTTAACTATTTTTCGTTGTATTTTTTTTTTTTAAGGAAGGATTTTTATTCGAATAATGTAATTTCTATTTTTTTATTTATCATTCATTCGCTATTTTATTTTTAAATATTGTAAGTTTTTATCACACATATATTTTTAGAATAGCACTTCTGACTTTTTTCTACTATTCTAAAAAAGTTAGTTTGGTATTTTAATAGTTATAGCCTAAGGCGATAGTCTCAATGTTGTGAGTTAGTATGAAAATTCAAATAGTATGCTTTTCCTCTTGTAATTTTCTTTTTTTTTTTCTTTTTTTTTTCGAGAACTATTGAGTGAAAGACCAAGTAGATGTTATTGTTCTAAAAATTGGATAATATATTTTCAATACACCAAATATTCTACTAACACTATTGTTCATTATTAATGAGAAGAATTGGTATTGGTTCTCTTTCTAAATTTTATGTGAGCTAATATACCCAAAAAGTCTAACAAAATCATATCATTTTTTTCTTCTTTAAACAGATGACTGCTTGAAGTAGTATAGTAGTTGTTTAATTTGGATTGAATGGTTTGAAAACTGACATAAGAATAGGTATCATAACTAATACCTTTTGTTTACTTTTGTTAATAATGAAATTTCATTTGTTCTATAGATTAGGCACAACCAATTTCTTTGTTAATGACTTTTTCATATTTACTAACAACACATCATAGATTTTGTTATAAATACTAAAATGGAATATATATTAATATTCCTTTTATCAAAAATGCTTTTAATGATATACAAAAGTTTTATTAATAAAACTAATCAAACAATAAAACAACTTTCAATAATATGTTTGTTATTATCTTTAATAACTACAAATACATCGACTTGTTTTTAAATAGAATTTTCAACTACATAGAATGATTACTGACTTTAGAATAACTGCAAAATGAATTCACTCACAAACTTTTGTTCTTTTCTACTTCTGGTATGATTAACTTAATTCTATTATGATTAAATGATCTTATTAATATAAAAGTATTCAAAACAATATCAGTCATAAATTTATCTTAATAAGGCTGTATTTTTCTTTCACTCACAAAAGAAGATTTAACCGATTAAATAAAATTATTTATAACAAAACATCAAAAACAAATTTGAATAAAAGCAATCAATGAAACTTTTTTCTCAGTACAAGTCTAATAATCTTCTTGATAGAAGTCTTCGTGAATTGCGGGCAATAGAAGAGGGAAGTCTTCTATTTTCAAGAGCTCTTTGTCTGTAACGTCTTAGAGCTAATAACTCTTCAATAAGAGGATCTTCTCTGAACCTTCTTTCATTTCTAAGTCTTCTTTGTTGATCAAGAGCACGCTCTTTTTGAAACATATCTTCTAACAACGCCAATCTTTGAAGTCTCTCTAATCTATCTAAACGATCTAATCTTCTTTTTAAATCATCAATTTTACTAAGACGATTATTTCTACGTGGTTTCATACGATCAGACAAACGCCTTCTTTGCTTTCTATCTCCTCCGTGATGTGTTTTTCTCAATCTTCGTTTTAATTGACTTGCTTGTCTTTTCTCTTGAATTTCCTTTTTACGTTCAGCACTACGTGGTGGAAGTTTTTCTATTTGATTAACAAAACTCTTCTCTATCTACAAGAACCCAAAAAATAATTTCAAACCGTATGTTCCAGACATCTAGTTAATAATGAAGTGTTTTTTTTTAAGTTCTTTGTAAATTCTTTTTTATTTTAAAATTTATATTATAATACTCTTTTTCTGCCCTTTTTATTATCTTCATTTAGTGAAAAAAAAATATTTAAAAACCATTTCATATTAAATCAATCAGTTCAGTTTTTCTAAAAAACTTAAATAAGATGCTGGGGGTGCTTTAATATCATCCAATAACCCCTCGTTTCCTTCAAACCTTCTTTCTACTCTATTTTCAAATCCCCTTCGTGGACTACGTCTCCTATCTCGACGGTCTTGATAAAAAGATGAATGCCAATCCTCTTTTTCATTTAAATTTCTTTTCCAAAATACACCAACAATATCATCATAAATTTCATGGTGGTCTTTCATAAAATGGTTTAGTCGGTCTTGTCCAATAAATTGTTGATGACACAATTTACATTCAAATGTTTTTGTTAATATATCAGGATCATTATTTAGAAATTGATTGAAATCAACAACCCCTTCTTTCTTTCGTTGGTCTGTTATTTTTTCAGTTGGTTCAAATGTATTGTCTTCTATCACTGAATTCATTATTTCATCAACACATTTCATTTGGTCAAATCCCTTTTTTGCTCTCTCAATATTACTAATATCAATTTCTTTCCATCTTCCATCTTCTTTTGAATGGTCATGACCCCCACAATCATTTTCAAGACTCCATAATGATGTGTATCTCTTACCACAATAAATACAAAACAAATGAACATATCTACACCAATCAGCATCACTAATATCTCTTGGTTTAGAAATTTCCATTACCTCATCTAATCTCTCTACCTTTTTCCATATACTTCCACAGCGGATTGGTATTCCTCTAACTGGCCCATTTGGATGAATCTCTTGGGCATCTGGAAATGCAGCTATAAATGATGATGAATCACCAGGGAATACAGCAGCAATTGGTAGTTCATTATCATTACCAACACAAACTCCATTATGGTTTATAACGTTTTGAGGAGATACAGATTTTGATAACTTATAAAATAATGGAGTTGATGGATGGTTTCGTTTATACAAAGACCCCATTCGTTGAGAATATCGTTGTTGAGAAATAAATGAATTTTGTAAATGAACAGGATGAAAAGATAGATCATATGTATTTGTGATTGACGGTTCATGGTTTTCAGGTGATGAAGATCTAAATGATGAGTGTTGTGAGTACATGTTCATTTTTTTAAGTTCTTTTTAATTTTTTTTCTTTCATTACACTAAATAATTTGTTCAAATAAAATTAACTTTTCTATATTCTAAGTTCTTTAATTTAATTAAAAAGAAAAAAAAACATTAATATATATGAAAGTCAAACCAATAAACATAAATTATTTTGGAATAAACTGTTCACTACACGAACTTAATTGTTGATGGTATTCTTTTTCTAGTTTTTCTAGTGTTGTGTTTAACTTAGTTTGAACTCGTTTGAGGGCGTCTTTTTCTTCACTAAATAAATTATTTCCTTTTGGAGTTTGTTTCCAATTTGGTGGTAAAACTGGTTTAGTTGATAGTGCTTTCACAGCACCTTCATTTGGATTGATGAATATAAATTGGTCATAACACACATGAGAGATAGCACTCTTCTTTGTTTTATCTTGATTAAACAACTATATATTAATAAGGCACTATATTAATAAAGAAAATAAAACAAACAATAATAAAGTGTTTGAATGTTATTTGTCCTAAATTATACTTGAATGAAATTTCAATTACTGCTTCAAATTCACCCCATCCTTGTTCAGTGATTTCATATGGTGGTTGTGAAATCCCTAAAAATTATTAAATCTCAATTTTCACAACTATAGTAACAACAAACGTCGATGTGGGTTTTGAAATGATTCATGAAGATGAAATGTAACTGAATCAATAACATTAAATAATTCTACATCTTCTTCATTGAACGGACGAATAAATAACGTCCAGTTGTGAGTATTGTTAGAAACAGTCTTCTTCAATGGTGTTGATTCATTTCCATATAACACCCGTTTAGTAATTTTTATGCTCATTCAATCCTTTTTTTTTGGTTTGTTTTAGAGTTTTTTTTTGTTTAGTCTTTTTATTATTATAGTTATTTATAACAATATTTTATTGTAAAAAATGAAAAGAGTTTTTGTAAAGTATATAAACTTGAAAAAACAAAATCTATTGTAGATAGAAAATGACTGAAAAAATTGGTTTACCTTTTAGACATGGAATGTTAGTTGAAGAAATTGTATTGATAAGAATAAATGACTTACTCTCATTTGATGGAAATGAAGGTGTATTTAATATAACTAATAGAATACCAGACAACACGGTTTTGGATAAAACTCTCTGTACATTCACATTCCCTGATCATGACCTCAGCAGTTCAGTTAAAAAAGAAGATAAATTTACATTTACATTAACAGAACTTGATGGGAAGAGGAGATACTGTCATTGTAAAAGAGAAGTCTACCAACGGTCTTATTGTTTTTGCATCATTTCATCGTATCCTTCTTTCACACTATTCAGTAATATTTTAGATTTTCTTAGTCAAAATATTAACTCAAAGTATTTAAATGATATCTTCCTTGATTTATTCAATAAACAATTCCCCAAACCCAACCAGACAATTACTAATGATATATCAAATTCTAACAAATTCACATATACAATTAAACGTATAGAAGATAGTTTATTTGAACCTAACTTTATTACTCCATCTTTATTTTTAAATATGTTTGGTGCTTCATTATTTGTAGATATGTTATCTCATCTTCTTCTAGAGAGGAAATTTATTTTTATTTCTGAGTCTTTACAGTTACTTAGTTCTTCAGTTCATACCTTCTCAAGACTTATTTATCCATTTATTTGGCAGGTTTGTTTTAGAGTCATCATAACTATTATTTAATTCTTATCTTTTCTAGCACGTCCTTATTCCAATTCTTCCTCCTGATATGTTGTCTTTAGCATTTGCTCCAATGCCATTCATCATTGGTTGTACCTATTCCACTTTTCTTCAAATGGTTGAAGAAGTTGAAATTAACGATGTATATGTTTTTAATTTAGATACATCAACATTTCTTTCTTTTCCTTCTCATCCATTATTATTAACCAGTGATCGTTCCGTTCAATTAAGGTCTCAATTAAATAAATTACAAAAAAGTATGGAGAACGACAAAAAGTCTGTTTTATTACAATCATCAGATCCTGTCATTTCATCTCTACTGTTAGACTTTTATAGATATTCCTTTGGTTTTTATGCTTCAACATACCATGAAAAAGTTAACCAAAAAACTCTTCAAAAGGTGAAAGGTTTTGATCTTACTAATCCAAAAACAAACCCAGACAAAACAGGAAGGACATTCTTTCTAGAATTCCTTAATAGTCAAATGGCAGATATGTATTTCTCCGAAAGAGAAAAACAAGTTATTGAAGGAAAAAATATTAGAAAGTTATGTCCATTGCTCATCCCTTATAGCTCTAATCCTATTTTTGACACACCCTCAAGTTATGGTTATTACAACACTAAATGTGTTAATTGTCACAGCACCATCCTTTCACAGTCACCTTGTTGTATGTTAGGATCATTGCCATGCCATTGTTGTTGTTATCGGTGTCTATCTTGCTTTAGAATTATGCTTGGTGACATCAAAGGAGATGTAAATCGTATGATTTGCACATTATGTATTGAATCAAATTCTCAACCAAAACATAGAACTGCTGAAGAATACCAACAGCTTTTAAGTAAAAAATATCGTACAGCACTAGGCAATATATCACAAATACTATCTCAAAAATCAAAGTCATCAAAAAATGTTGCTTTAACACCAACATCAAACTCTCAACATGCTACCCCTTCAATCACACCAAGGTATGACAGTAATGACGCTAAGTCAATTGAGTTGTTTGATTTTTCCAATGCAAAATCTTATTCAACTCAACCAACAATTGCTTTTGATTTAGTTGGCACTTCAACAAACCAGTTAGAAAGTGAAGACCTTCCCACTAAAGAAAAGAAAACAGAAGAGTTAAATAACATCTCTGACCAACCCAAAGACAAAAGTACCAATAACGAATTATTTGATTTTGAACAACACCTATCAACACCTCCGCCAACACCAATTTGTTCTCTGTCAAAGAGTCCACTAAATGAATCTGGTTCTGGGACATTTACATTTGACAGTATTAATACTTCTAAATCCCAACAACAAATAAAATACCAATCCACAAACGTCCCTTTGTTTGATTTTACTTTACTTTAATTTACATCCTTTCAAATAAAAACTTATCTATTATTTCATTCACCAAAATAGAAAATATTATCTTCTTTTCTTGACGAAATTAATTTGAGATTTCCAAATGAAAAAATCTGCTGTCAGTATGTCCGTGATTGGATTTTATTCATAACGTTGAGAAGTAATTCCTTCAACCTCTTCACATCTCTCTTTTAATCATAAAGTTCTTTTCAAGAATATTCATATTAGAAAGTTATCTTTTTCAAATAAACCAATAAAAAGTAGATAATAAATTGTTAATAGATTTATTTTCAATTGTTCATTGCTCAGGGGAGACTAATTCTGTCCCTTTGCTTTAAAATTGTTTGTTCAACAATTAGTAGCTTATTATTAACTTTTAGTTGTTGAATTCTGTGATTTTCTTTTCTTCTTTATTTATTCTAGAATAAAGTATTTCAGATATCTCTGACTTAAATATTCATTATTTAATTTTTTGTTTGGTTTTGATGAGTATTAAATTCTTCTTTATTTTTAAGGAGAATATATAATTACTACTGTATTACTATGGGCTAATATTCTTTTTAACATCAACTATTAACCCTTTTTCTTTGATATTCCTTTATTATTAAATACATTTGTATCCTAACTAACAATAATACTATCATTATAAATAATCATTCTTTTATTAACAATGATATTCCATTATCATAAATAATAAACATTAATATTCTTTGAATATTGAGTAAGATGTTTTTCTAACCAAATGCAATATCATAACCAGAATATAATTAGTGAATTTGAAGAATGTAAATGTTTTAGAGTTTTATTTAGTGTCTTTAATGTAGAATATTCAAATCAAACAATAAAGAAAATAAAACAGAATGAGAAAGAGAATAAAAAGAGAAAAAGTTAGTAAATATCATTTAAGATGGTAAGACAAGCCTTAGAATCGATGTCTTTATAGACGCCACAAGGTCTAGAATCGAACTTTTGAGCGATTTGAGGGAAGAATTCTTTTGATTTTTCCCATTGAGAGAGTCTAACCTTAGCACCAATAGATAAAAAGAAATTTTCAGTAGCGGTGATAGCATCTTCAGGTTTAGGATTAGGGATGCCAAAGACTTGTTGAGCCATTTGAATAAGTTTCAATGAATTCTTTTGTTTATGGAATCTCATAACACCAGGCATTGTCATTGCTAAAGTTTCACCATGAGCAAGACCATAATAAGCAGTAATTTCATGACCAATCATATGAGCACCCCAACATTGATCAACACCACAAGCAAGAGAATAATTTAAAGCAACAGTAGCAGCATAACAAAAAGTAGCACGTGCTTGATAATCATAATGATCTTTAAGAGTAATAGGAGCAACTTTTATAAGAGTACGCATAACTGCTTCAGCTTCACCATCAGTAACAGGATTTTCTTGATAATGTCCAATATATTGTTCATAAACATGAACAAATGAATCAATAATTCCATTTCTAACTTGATTATCAGGAAGAGACATAGAATGACATGGATCAACAATAGACCATTTAGGAAAAACACTAATATCTTGTCCTGCCATTTTCATATTATCACTTTTTCTAGAAATAACAAATCCACAATTCATTTCTGATCCTGTAGCTGGTAATGTTAAAATAACACCTATTTGTGCTTTTGCTTTTTGATATTTAAATTGTCCAGCTTTCATAACAATATCATATGTATCATTAGAATATGTATGTTCCATACCAAGTGCAATATATTTTGTTCCATCAACAACTGATCCTCCACCAACTGCTAATAAAAAATTAATTTGATTTTCTTTAGCAAGTAAAATAGCTTTACTACATGTTTCATGTGTTGGATTAGCTTCAATCCCTCCAAATTCAATAAGTGGTTTAACATATTTCTTTACTTCTTCATAAACTCCATTTTTTTTAATTGATCCACCACCATAAATCATCATAACTCTAGCACCTTCTGGAATAAGATTTTGTTTAATAATTTCTTCACAACTACCTTTGCCATAAATTAATCTAACTGGATTATAATATGTAAAATTTTTCATTATTTCAATTAAATTATCAAAAGTTCTCTTTTTTATATTCCTTTTTTTTTACTTTTTTTTTTCTTTTCTTCATTATAAGAATCCTCGAATATTTCGGTGATTAGTGATGAATTAAATTAAATGAGGTCAATTTTTCAACAAAAGATACAAAATGTCTTTCTTTACTTAAAATAAAAGAAAAAAGAATAAATAATAAATAAAAAAACAACTTAAGGCTAATGAAACACAAAATGTGATATCATTGTAGAAAGTTGAGAGATAAAAGATGAAATAACAAAGCATTACCAATAGAGAAAGGTGGGAATGTCTACTAATTTCAGTATAAGAAGAATAATAAAAATAAAGTTAATTAAATATAATAGTGTTAAAAAGTAAAATGGTTATTTGTTTAAAGAAGACTCTTAATCTCTTTGTTTATATTAAAAAAAAAAAGAATAAAAAAAAAAAGAATATAAGAAATCAAAAAAATAAATGAGTAAAAGAAGAGAAATAGACAATAAAGAAGAATTTAATATATTACAAGATATTGCAATGGAAACATTAAGTCGAGAAACAATAGAAAGAATTGGAGAAGATATAAAAATTAGTAATAAATATTTAGACATAATAATGGAATATATAAAAAAATTAAGAAGAGGAATATATAAAAAAGAAATGATAGAAGGATTTATGAAAATGATAAAAAAAAATAAAGAAATAATAATTAGAGTAATGATAAAACATAGAGGAAAAGGAAAATGTATTTGTGAAGATCAAGAATTTCAAAAATATTATCAAGTTGAATGGAAAGAAAAAAGATGTGGAGTAATTGAAATAATAAGAAGAGAAAAAGAAATGAAAGAAATAGTAGAATCAGAAGAAGGAATAGAAGAAATGATTGAATGGTTTGACAAAATATATAATATAAAAGAAATTGAAGGACAAACATTATATTTTGATAAAAGATTAATTGAAGAAGAAATTATAAATAAAAAAGAAAAAGAAGAACTTTTTAAAGAAAGAATAAGTATTATTGATTGGAAATGTGAAATAGATCCATTTTTTACAAGAAAAAAAATATTATGTTTAAGAGGAATTAAAAAATATAAAACAAGTAATGGACCAATTGAAATTCAAGTTACATTAGAATCAAAAGAAGGAATAGAAATTAAAACAATAATATATAAAAAAGGAGATGATTTAAGAAAAGATGAAGGAGCAGAAATAAGTTTTAATATATTTAATGTAATATGGAAAAGATTTTTAAATAAAAATTATGGAATTAATATTAATAATAAAGAAATTATTGGAAAAGCAAAAACATATGGAGTAATAGCATTAAGAGAAGGAGGAATAATTGAAAAAATAGGATGTACACCAATGAAAGTATTATGTAAAAAACATAGAGAACTTACATGTTGTATTGATGGAAAAATTTATGAAGAATATAGTCAAAATAAATGTTTAGAATGTTATAAACAACTTAATATTGAAAAATTAAATTTAGAAAATAAAATTAAATTAATAGAAAGTTTAGTTGGAGGATTTATAGGTGGTTATATTATTGGATTAAGAGATAGACATTTAGAAAATATGAAAATTGATTTATGTGAATCTACTTTTTTTCATATTGATTTTGGATATCTTTTAAATGAAAGACCTAAATTCGATGCTAATTTATTTGCAATTCCTTCAGTTTTAAGAAATCAATTACAAAAAATTATTATTAATCAAAATCAAATAACTATGAATGCTTGGGATATCTTTTTATTTTTATCTTCTAAATCTTTTATTATTTTACGTAGAAATAATGAAATGATTTTAAATCTTTTATTATTAATTTTTTCTTTTATTGATGGTTTTTCTATTGATCTTATTACTAATACTATTAAAAATTCTTTTCATATCCTTGATTCAGAACTTTTGGCTACAAATAAACTTCTTGATGATATTTTATCTGTTTCTTTTCAAAAAATTATTAAAGATAATCAACATGAAATTTTATCTTGGATTAGAAATAATTAATTCTTTTTTTTTTTCTTTTTTTATCAAATAATCTTTTCTAACTTCTCACTTCACAATCACTTCATAAACCTTAATCCATCCAATCTTTAAATCTCTATTTATCTTTTGGTTATCAATGACCCCTCTTTTTTTTGACTTACTCCATTATTCAATATTATTTGGTTATTATTTATTATGTACTATTATGGTGTTATTTATTTTTATGTAATGATTATTTATTGTGATGATAGTATTATTATTTATCAACATGTAAGTACATTTATCAGTAATAGTTTTGAGTTGAATAAACAGTGTTATTAAAAAAATGGGTTCTTTGAACAGTGTTGAAGCTAAAAGAAATGAGCTATGATCATAGTGTTATTGGATATTTATCATATAATAACATTATAAACAATGAAGAGTTTTAATATTCATTAATTTAAATTAAAAATTAGATAACAATTTAAATGATGAACCATCTAATCAAGTATGATTGAAAAAACAATATTTGAATAGAAATAAATATTGAAAAGATTGATTCACTCACTTCTTAACATGATGAAAAGTAAATCATAATTGATTTCTTTTTTTTCTTTATCAAATAATTCTTTCTTCTCATTATTTTTATTCTTCATCATCTTTTATACTCTTTTCTTTTCTAAAAAACAATCGATTACAATAAATATCAAAAAGAATAAAATCAAAAACAAAAGAAGGAGAAACTCATATCAATCAAGAAATACAAATGATAGAAGAATGAATGAAAACACGTATTATCTGTATGGACAGAAATACATTAATCATCACATTAATCATTACCATATTAATATCTATCACCATAACAATTATCATAATAATTATAATAATAATGGTAAGAATCATTTCACTCATCACTTCATTCATTTTCATCATCATAAGTATTTTATCATTAATTCAAATAGAATCAATCAATATTATAATACAAATAAATCACATGATAAAACACA